TACATCCACCCTTCGAAAAGTCTGCAGCACTTAGCTTCTCTCCCGACATGATCTCACAGCTCAATATCTCCCTCCCTGCCTAACTTGCCTATGCAAAGAACTATACTCAACTGTGGATGAACCGTTCAGAAGTGCATGCCTGTGGGCAAGGGCTCCCTGGCTCCCTCCCCAGTGCCTGGCTGGGCATAAGACTGCTGAGCACCAGCAAGCAAAGGCCGAGCCGGCCAAGCCTCGGAAGGTTCCCGCTTCAGAAGCGCAGGGGAGCTGGGGTGGAGAGACGCTGAGCGCAGACTTGTTTGCGCAACCCAAAACAGATCGGCTGGGTTCATTTCGCGACACTTAACCCCATCTCCTTCTTGACAATCCACGAATCTCACTTCTATCCATTAATTTATCCATCAGTTCTAGCTGTGGATCGGTGCTGTGCCTAGTTATATATATATATATATACACATGTATATACATATACATGTCTATATGTATGTGTATATGTGAATACCATCATATTAGATCCGGGTGCGGACGGCCCCCCCCCTCCCCCGCAACGGTTGCTACCGCCCGGGGTGTGGTGTCGTTTGCGATTGGGGTTTGCCGGGGGTCATCATCATAATCATCATCATCATCATCATCTCCATCATCTCCTGGCAACAACTGTCGCCTGTCAGAAACACGATCCTCGTGACAGTTGCATGTTTAATCACCTCATGTCGGAGTCACGGTTGCCAAGTGTCCACTGTCACAAGGATCGGGTGTTTGGAACGAGACAGTTGATGGTTTTGGAGCCGCCATGTGGGAGAGTTCGCACAGTCACAGGGATTCGACATGTTTGGACTCGGGCGGGTCGAGGGGTCGTGGTTGCGCCCCGACGCCCCCCCCCCTCCTCCCTCTTCCCCCCTTCACACTGTGGAACGGCTTAAGCCTTGAGCTTGGGACGTGTGCTGAAGGCTACTTTCTTTTTTGGGGGATACCATTTCCGGGGGGAGGGGGGGGAGGGGGGGCCACAACGCACCGCGCGCAATGTTTTGTATGTCTCCAAACTTACGCAGGCTTGCACTTTTGAAAACATATCTATCTTCTGGCTGTGTACCCATCATGCTTACGGTCCTGTAGACAGCTCATCCATGAATCTCATGCTCGACACATCGAATCTCGCTCGCATCTGCCTCTTCGCAATCCAATCTTTAGATGCCAACCTTACGTGGTCTGATGGTCAGATGGTCGTCTCTAACTCAACCGAGCTATCTTGCAATCTCGCGATCGAGCGGTGAAGTGACTGGTTTGCGGGCTGATCGATCCATCAATTCTCGGTATGACTACCGACCTAGTATCTAACTGTGATCCCGTAGTGAATTTAGATGCTACATCAATCTCTCCCTCATAACTCTCTTCCAGATATGCGGAGCAATGAAGCCACCTCTCGAACGATGAGAAGCATAAAGCTTCTCTTGCTGTTCTTGTGCATCCCCTCGACGATCGGCTCAAGAAATGTCTGGTTAATTTCGCGACCACACCACATGAGTTGCTTGAACATGTGACCACTCGTGTCTCGTCACCTGCAATCCTGCAGTCACAGCAAGACTGCACAAGATAAAAACTGCAAGACTCACAGCAACAAACTCCTTCCTTCACCCAACTGCCACGGCAAAGTGAGCGGCCGTCTTTCCACGGAGCCCGTGCAGCTCCATGGCATTGCAAAGCGGTCGGGGGTCGATGTCAGCAGTTGAGGTCAGGGACGGGGCTGTTGGACCGGAGCGGAGCCAGGGCTTCGTCAATGACCGAACGTCTCTTCTGCTGTTTAACACTTCCGGCCGCGTGGTGCGCAGATGTGGCAGAGGAAACATGCTCGACAATACGCTCGACGGGGCCTTTTGCAGGATGTTCGGGAGCATGGACTTGATATGGCTGGGTTGAGGCTTGATTCCATGCTCAAAGATGAGGGCACAGACATGTATGGGCACTTGTATTGGCTACACAGTGGCTACGGCACCCAGCAGACACGAAACCATCTCCCAAAGCTCCACCGTCACACAAGCGAGACCACGAATGCAGTGCCGCCCCACCAGGAAACGAACATAGTCGGAAGCACCACAGAGTCCGATAAGCGTAGCCTGGTGCCTACTAATTGTAACCTGAGCTAACATGTCAGTAAGCCCTGATGCGCGCTCCTGAATTTGAAAACATGCCGGAGATCACCGGTTCGACACCTTCCGGGTCGGGGAGCTCCGGGCAGGTCTGTGCACCCTGAGAATACGGTAGAATGTCACAGCAACTTTGTTAAGCTGTGGGCCGATGTGGAGTCTATTGGGGCTCCATGCATCTCCATGCATTCGGACCCCTTGCAGCAGATTGAAGTCGTCCCCAGCAGAACCCAGTGTTGAAGCGTAGACTAGACTTAAAGTTGAGGGCTCGTGCCCTGTGCAGCAGCTCTTTCCTTGTTTGGGGACGTGTCAAACAAAGGCCTGTGGCTATCGACTTGATTTGCTGCACGTGTGTTCTCTTTTGCAAGGACCTATGCATGTGCTGCATGTATGGGTGTTCAACACCTGCTGGCTTTGCATCTTTTCTGTTGAAAGGTGATCAAGCAAAAGGGTCTTTAGCCACTTTCTGCGCTGGCATCGCTGGAAGCAAGGAATCTGCAGCTGCGTTCTGGTGCACGGATGTGGCGACAGCACTACAAGTGTGACCGGAAGAAGAATTGTGTTTGTTCCAAGATGTCCCGGCCGTCCTGGCCCTGCCAGAGCAGACCTCCTTCAACCAGCAGTGCGAGGGTTGTCTCTTGAGCGTTCCGGGCTTTGAAGGCGCGCATCTGCTATTAAGTCATATTACATCCATAGAGGTCGATAAAAGGATCTTCGCTCTACACTTCCAGAGGGACAACCCCCGAATCCAGTCAGTACATTCACATGAACCTCACACGTAAGCTGTGAGAACCCAAGGGCCAATGCCGATGGCGATGTCCGACTCCAGGCAAAAAGAGATCACAGAGTTTCAGGGATGTACTCCTCTCCGCCAGGAGTAACAAGACCTACTGTTGCCAACTATGCGTCTACGTTGCAGATGCCTGCTTAGAGCTGCCGCCTTTGTTCCTGTAGAAACTTGAGCTGGGCAGGCTCTGTTCAAAAAAGATGCTCCGATGATTCAACCCGTTCCAAAGCTATACACCCAAATCCTAAACGTCTGTTCGTCACGCCATATAAAGCTGCCTTGACATCCTCGGCCATCGCCGTTGAGGATATTGACGCAGGTCAGTGGAACATCGGCACTGCCTTCGTGCCAAGAGACACTGCCGAGCATGTCCGACTCAGTGAGGCAGATTAACACGCGACAGTCCGAAAAGAAGGATATTCAGGTATTCACATCTCAAAAGGACATTGCTGAACGCCGGCCATCATCGTGAAATCGAAATCTGCCACATCTGAGGCTGTACCTGCGGCATACATCGTGCTCCACAACTGTCACACCATCGCCATGCCTGCAAATGGTGCAAGTCCCGTGTCCTGTTCGGAACAATGACAAGAGCGCTCTTCTTTTCGACAACCTAACAACACGACGAATCTGGAGCTTGACGACTCGGGAGCCCGTGTGCCAAAGCACGATTTGCGGGCAGACTTTGGGTGCCAAGACTGATCAGGCATCTGCTACAGGTAGAGTGGCTTTCACAATTAATCATGGCGTAGTTGTGAAAGTTGCCACCTGGCATCGAAAGGCTAGTTCACCAGCGCTGGTGATGGACTGAACAAGGTCCACCACCGGCATCTCCTATTTCTCCAGACGTCACCTGGATGTGACGAGGCTCTGCAGCCTGGAAATCTGGAGAGTTTTCAGTGTTTGAGACGCTTGCGGCGGAAATCACCCATGAGACGTTGATCTTAAAAACACAAGGGGGCGTGCCCCAGGGCCGATGCGTAAGGAGTCCTTCAGGCGAGTCCGGGCTGCAAAGACTTCAATCAAAGCTTAACAGCTGCAGGAGTACAAACCAGTTCGCGCGGCAACAGTGCCACAAAAACATCCCGCGCCCAGGATAGCTTCCCCACCATGCAGGCCCGAGTTCACGCCGGAATTGCCGGGCATGCCCTCGAAACAGTCCATCCGGTGTAGCCTTCTTTCGAGACATCAGACCCTTCCATGGAGTAATATCGCTACACCTCGCCCTCAGCTGCTGTCGCTACCGGTGCATTGCCCTGGTCTGCCTCCGCGAGACGCGTAGGCAAGATGTTGGTTCTCACAGCCGTAAACCGACGCTGGAACGTGCTACTGCTGTGCCGTTTCTGCGAGATCCAAGGTGTGAGCTAGTTTGGAGGTGGACGGCTGCTTCGGGCCATGCCGCAGAGATCTGTGCGATACTTGGAAAACACTGGCTCGGCGCGTCGACCATCCAAAGAGTTCTGGAGGATGTTAGCACGTTTGGAGCCATAACTATGGCTTTCCATAGGTTGCCACGGTACCTTGTCTATCGCTCCGAGCAGCTGGCAAGATGAGTCATCTGTACCCGGCCTCAGATGAAGTCCTGCGCCCTGGCGCACCTCTGCTGAGCTGGGCCCACACATGCAGGGCAAAGAACAGCAGAGCTGCCCCAAGCTCCTACAGGACCCACACCCTCAACACAGCCTGACACCGGGCACTGCAGCTTCCATCTCAGGAGGCAGGTCCTGCGGATAGCATGTGAAGGCAATGCTGATGAAATGTCATTCCATGCATGTTGTACTTGTTATACCCCCTCTTAGTCTTTCCCCTGGCAAAGCCTGCATCAAGAGGCCTGACATGCTCAATCTCACGTTTCGGCATTGGGTTTTGAAGCTGCTTCAGTATCACAAGAAGGGACAGGAAAGCTGGTAATATAGCTGCAACTCTCCATAGATCGAAGCGATTGGGGGTCTGCGCCTCCCATGACACGAAAGGTCCCTGGATCCTGTAATTATGAAGTTCGAGCACGCGGAAACCCTCTGATACAAATGAAGTGTGCCAAACACCGTGGCTTGGCACCGAGCGCACACTTGTTTTTATCTTCGCAACATCTCTGCTAGGGAAGCATGCCCGGCGAAGTCAGCGACTTCGGCAGGAGTCCGTCCGGCAGGCCCTACTGAAGCAAGGTCAGCACGTGCATCCAAGAGCACCTGGCAGACGGCCTGGCAAAGGGCAACATGTCTGAACTAACTATACGGCTATACCACCATGCGACAACTGCAAACATCTGCAAACGGCTCACTATGTCACAGTGTTTGTGTGTGTGTGTGTGTGTGTGTTTGTGTGTGTGGGCGTGTGTGTTGGAGAAGCCTGGTGGCCATTTGCGGCAGCGGAATCCAGTGCACATGCGCCAGCCACGGTACGCTGCGCGAGATCTGCACGAGCTTCGAGCAAGACCTCGCATACCGGGAGGCAACCTGCGCCCGCGGCCAGCAGCAAAGCCGACTTCCCCTCCGGATCGGTGCCATCGGGCTGAGCAGATGCCGCCAGCAACTCTTCACAGAGATCGCGTCGGCTCAGGGCAGCAGCTAGCATCAGCGGACTTTGCCCGCGCTCGCTGACTTCTTCTGGATCGGCCCTAGCACCAAGCAGCTCCTTGACATTCGGGCAGGCTCGCATGCTGGCGCTAGCCTGTTGACTGGAGACTACGGCTACGTGCTTTCCCAGGCCCTCCTCCACAAGGGCTTTGTGCCCAGCAGAAACAGCAATGGCCAGGGCGGCCGCTCCGGGGCCTTGGAACACAAAAATCACCGTATCCTAATGCAGAAACAACGGGCTCCAAGCCCACAGTTTCGCACCCATCGCAAGGAGCGGATGCCCTAGTGCCCTAGTAGCCCAAGGCGGTGACTAGCAAGATCAGCACACACACACACACACAAGCAAACACAAACACTGACACAAATACAAATACAAATGCAAATGCCACCACCACCACCACCACCACCACCACAACCTCAACAAATACAAATACGAACACAAGCACAACCGTAACAGTTCCATAACTCATCAGTCAATCAACAACAAAATCAGACACAAACACAACACACGAACACAAAGAACATACACGCACATGCACACCTGGAGTGACCCTCAGTATAACCGAAGTGATGCCATAGGTCAGCGCTTAGCAGGTTGTTCTCATCTCTGTCATCATTTCTCACTTCTTCTTTTCGATCTTGTCCGGCTTGCACTCAGCGCTTTTCTGATCTTTGCATCATTTCGCAGGTACGTTTACACGAGAGGACAAGTAGATGAGTGCGCGGTCTTCGTTGGCCAGCGCACGCACTCATCCCACCTGCCTCTCCGCTGGCTCTCTGCTGTGTTGTTTTCCCCTTGGTGACAGGGTGTCACACACACACACACACGCAGCTGCCCCTGGAAAGGGGTAGAACACACAAAACGAACACAAACACCAATACACACTCACTCCCTGACTCCCTCACTCACTCACTCATACTCGCTCAAAGGCACTCGCTCAAACTCACTCATCACTCACTCGCTCATGCTCTCAGTCAGTCAGTGAGTCAGTCGCACTCACTGGCTCTCTCTGTCTCTCCCGCGATTCCGTGGCAGCACCGCAGGAGGGAACCTGTACTGCAACCTGCAACTCTATGCCCAGGAAACCTCGGGCTTCGGGCCTTCGGACGTTTCGCCTGCACGGCTGCGCTGGTTCGGGTCGGCCCTGGCCCCCAGAAGCAAACGGCACCTTGCCAGAAAAAGACTTCTCATCAGAGACGCTGGCGCCAACGGCTCATTTCTCTACCATTGCTAACCACCCTCGCAACAAACAGGCCCCTCTAAGAAAAATGCAAGAACCGTGCACAGATGCTGAAAGTCCTTCGGGGTCGAGGTGCAGCTTGAGGTTGCCAGTGGCAGCAGCGCAGCCAAGCGGTCGGCGGCCGGCCGCATCCGCCGTCTCGGGAAAAGCTTTGGCCTCCAGAAGAAGGCCTCAGAAAGTGCCGGACACCTCAAGTCCGGAAAAGAACTCTTGTGCTTCCTGGGCACCGGCAGCCAACACGCTCCCTGCCGTGGATGCGGCGACGAGGGGAGAGACGGACGAGCCCTCCGGTTGCGCGGAGGCTTTGCCTGAGCGAGACTTCTGTTTTGTCTGCTTGGATGTCTCAGCTGCAAACGTGCTTGCAAAGGCTAGCAAGAGCATGGAAGAAGGGCTTCTGATTCTTCAACCCCCGAACCACTTCAAAAATCTGGGACTCGGCCAAAATACATTCCAAAAGCCTTCGTACCACCTTCGCAGCACCGGCGCGGCTTGCAGCCGCCAGAGGTGTGAGGCCCCTACCTGGTCTCAGTGAAGGGCAAATTTTAACGTCCGTCTACAGGCCCAGCTAGTTACCACGAAAGCATACGATGCGTCAATTGCGGCATGCATGACATCGCGAAAGACGATACCGCGCATAGGCTTGTACGTTGTATCCGAATGCGGCGCATCTTGATCATAATCTCCGCACGCGACCCTCAAACCCGAAGCCAGGCTTCACTACACGGGCACAGGTTGGATCCATAGAGAGAACTGCCGAGAAAAACCACGAATGTACGCTCTCACACATGCATCCGAATTTACAGCATCCTGATTCATAACTGCCGCCCGACCGCTTGTAGGTTGGCTGACATCTGCGCGGAGGTCCTTTCCACAAGGCGTCAGGTTCATTCACTAATAACAAACATGAAAATGAAAGCCGGACCAGACTGGCAGGAGCAACTTCTGATTGCTTCCTGCAGGGTGTAACCGTCAGGTCTACATATTTGCCGTCGTAGGGCCTATCGTTGGTCTCACAGCATCCCTACAATCCACTTGGCCTGAATAGCCAAAGGCCGAATCTAATCAGTTCTGCTCCCTGCAAAACACAAATGGTAGTATGCTAGAGTACCTGTGGTGACTGAGCAGGCAAGGAGCACACAGTAGTTGCACAAGTCGCTCTGCAGATTCCTGGCAGCAGATCGCTCAAGCAAACGCCGCTCTGTTGCATTCCTCCAAATCACCCTCGGCAATGTTGCAATGTTCCAGTAGTCACCATAATTAGTCTTTGCCTAGGCGGTCCCATCTTCTGCGCGGACGCTCCGAACGCTGTCAATTTCACATGAACCATAATCATAACCAGGTGTATCATTAATATAACACCTCTCGCGACCCGCCCCGTGGCTCGGCCCCTCGGTGAAAGAGCCTCGGGACTGAGACGCGATGCTCGTGTGAGCGACGTCTCCCCATCGTCACCCTGCACAGGGATCACACGCGCGTTGCAACTGAGCCGTGCACATCGAATCACATACGCCCTGAATCGTTCAGATGGGCCCTCAGGAGACCCCACTGCCCTGAGGCATGTGCAGGTGCATGGGATAAGCTAAAGCTGACGATGCTGTTTGGCTGTGCTTGGCTTGTGTGGAAGGCTCTGAGACAATCATCCCAACTTTGCAAAGCTCCTCACTTCAACGCACGAACCTTTAGATCCAGCACAAGTCTCCGCTTATCGCCTGTGCGAGGTTCACATTCGCACGCTTCTCGGCAAGGTGTCGAACCATGTCAACGTCAGCATGACCCACCTCCAGCTCTGCACTGCCCATCGCGAGCTTCCAGAAATACGCAGCGAGCCTATGAGAAAATAACTGTATGTAAGATTTTGGAAGGGGGAAACGAATCTACGAGGCTGTCGGCTTGTAGCATAGATTCTGGAACTCCTGTTGCAAGCATGTTGGCCAGCTAACAGCCTAAAACAAGCTCAACAGATCCTGAACCTAAACACCGAACCGACTCCTGCAGGATAGTTGATGTGGCGGCCAACAGCCAACCTGAAATGCTACGGCGTCGACACACAGTGCATCGTGGACGTGTGAGCTGCAAGACACAAAGTTTGCGCGAAACTTTGCGAAAAGTTTTCACTGTGAGATGCAGCTCTGAGACATTCCGAGCCACCCAGCTGTGGAGCGGGGCGTTCGCAGCAGGGGCTCCGGCATCCAAGAGAATCTGCGGAGATTGGCTTCGGATCACAAAGACGTCATATGGCACCTCCTTAAGCATGCCCCCCCGAAGATTTGACTTTGACTAGAAGGTTAACGGCCTCTGGTCACTTGCTCGTGGGATCGGCGCCTCGCAGAACCCTAAGCTTTTCGATTTCTTCAGGAAGCCCTGAAACCTCCTCACCTGCTGTCCGACACATGACCCATAGTCTTCGCAACCGCACGACGCCTCACACGAAACCTGTGCAGCAGTCCCAGTAGGTCTTGAAGCGGAATCGACAAGCCTTGAAGGAGATAGTGCACGCCGTCTCGGTATGTCTGTGTCGCCTCCGCAGTGGCGCGGTTCCCCTTCGCAGCGGCAGCAGCCAAGGCTGCTGAGAGAGCTGCGGGGCTGGGAACGTGAACCTGAGGATGACATGGCTTGTTGACGAATTGTATATTCCTTCTGTGGTGCACTGGAGCCCGAACGATGGCCTGCCTGAGAGGATTAGTCTAAGAGGCATAGTCTGGTGAACGATGTCGGGATTTCCTTCAAAAGATGCCCAACTCAGAGCCAAACCAAGCCTGAACGCACCACGGTACAGCAACTCTGCAAGCTGTCGTATCCTACATCCCAAAACCGTCGCTACGCCTTTGTTTTGATCTGTGCGTAAACCTTACCATGACCTGATACGGCTTGTGATTATGCAACAAGTTTTCGTCCATAGCACGGCTGCCGCCAGCAAAGCTTTCAAGAGTTCCTCGGCGAGGTGCTTAGGATGATTGCGGTTTCAAGGCTTGCACATCGAAGCTGGGGATGCGCTGCAAAGCCGGTGTGACATGCTTTGGTTGTGCTTGTTGGGATCATGTCGGGCTCATGGCTTTCACTACATTCAGAGATGGAGGCCATGCTACTACGTATACTATAGTCTATGTAGTGGCTCAGTTTGATGGGCCATAGAAGAATCTCGTCAGAGTGTTCTGCATGTTTCGTGGGGCTGCTGCAGTTTCTTCTCTTCAGCATCAGTGTGACCTGGAGGTTTGTTCTAATGTTGACTGTCAGGCAGTTTTCATTTCTGCCAGGAGCAGGAGAGGAAATCAACTTCGGAAGTGTGCGCCATGCCGGGCTCGCGAAGTGAATTTGCCACTTGCACCAGAACCAGAATGCCAAAGCGGGTCTGCATCCCACATTCAACTGTAAAAGAAAAAGTCGGGGTTTGTCGACATGCATTCGATGCCCATAGATGCTTGTTTCAATCGGCTGTCTGAGACTTGCGAATTGACAGGAATGCTATTTAAGAGCGCTGCAGTCGCTACGTTCGAATTCATGCCACCTGCGGATGGAAACCCCTCTCTTGCATCCTACAAATCGAGCAGACAGCCTGCTGTACATCTGAGCGGACAGTGGCCCAACGTCAGCACAACAGCAAACGCCTCAGCCATGGCTCTGCCGGGCCAGTGGATGACGCCGAGGCCAACGCCGACTCACCTGCGCCGTTGTCCTCAGGCGGACTTTTATAGGCTTTGATCTCATTACTTTTGCTTGATGTTTACACTCGGACGAATCCTCTCATTGCTTTCGACTGGCGCGCTCGCACAGGGCAGGCACGGATTCCAGCAACAAGTCTCTCAGAACGACTAACAGAGCTGCTTTACTGATAGTCTGCCTTAGGGTTTCGATTGTTTTCGGTGCAAATGCGGCTCTCCGCGTCTTTGCCATCATGTTTTGGATGCAGCCTTCTCTCACCCCGATAGTTGCAGATAAGCCTGGGCAGTGCGGGCCTGCGGCACAGGATTCTAAGCTGTGGGATCAGATGAGCCCTCCGAGGTCGTCATTCTACTTATTCTACTTTACAGGATTGCTGATGTTGTCAGCATCATGCACTATCAACTTGATATCCCATCTACTTCATAATAAGCCTGAACCTGCAAATCCGCCCAAAGACCGGGGAACGTTGGCCCAAATGGCCTGGCACGGGTTAGCCTTCGCAGTCAGCAACGCTTCAATCGTCGGCCGCGCTTGCACGCCACCTGGCTACAGAGGCCCAGCTGGGAAGGAGAGCGATGCGTCTCTCTCCGACAAGCTAAGCCTTAAGCAGCCAAGGGTTTTTGCCAAGTGAACTCTGACAGCCTGGCTGCGTCTCATGGAGCGGAATGTAACAGTAACAGACACATGCGACGCTTGCACCAAATTCTTGACTGCGCTAGACCCTGGAATCGGAGTCTCGGACCAATGGAAGACAAAGGATTGATGTACTCATACAAGAGACCAAAAAGCACAATCTGCACCAACACAATCCAGGAACTTATCTAAAGTACAACCCCTACAGCCCTACACGTTTTTCGAACCCGCACCACGATGCCTGACTCCACAGCTCGCAGCAACGCGCTGCCCCCATGTGGGTCCGCGGCATTCGCCTGCATTGCTCGCGAATTGCCAAGGCAAGCGTTTATCTGAGCTGTTGTTGCCGTTGCCCAGCCCCCGTGCCAACTGATCCGTCGGCACTGAAATGGCCGATAATTATTGCTGAGCTGGATGAATATCATTGGATATTCCTTTCTCTGCTTGCGGGCAGGCACGAAGGCAATGGACCTGGAACAGGGTCTGAGCTGCAACGAAGTTGGAAAAAGTTTGGACCACAAGAGCCTCCACGCGGCTGTTCAGTAGCGCCTCTACCAAGTTGTGCTGCCCTTGCCGGGCCTTAGGCCACGCTTCTGATTGCTCAGCATCAGGCCAAGGCTAGTGTACGTTTACCCTGAGCTGGCCAAGCACAGAAGGTGCTCCAAGCCGCTGCCAGGACCAAGGCCAGATCCCGAGGAAGGTCTGATGGAAGCTCCTTGGATCTCTGGCGTTGCGAGGAGCTGGGCGTTTAGTTTCCCCAATCCGCTGTCCCCTAATGGTTTGTGGATTCTGTCGGAGCCCTATGCAGGAGGATCGACGTCTACATTTCTACATGTCCAAACCCCAGATTTTCGGACCCTGCCAACTCAGCAGCTGCCGAATCTGGTACCGTATCCTATCACGAGGAAAAATGCGGGGCAGTGCAACATCTCTCCACATCTCTCCGCCGGTCCAAGGATATCTGCGGCTGTTCCACCTCTCGGGCCCTCGAGCTTAGGACTGCGCATGTCTGGCTTTGGTCACCGCTTTCTTGGCGATATAGGGTAGCGGAAGTCAAGCTTCAACTCTTCCCAGGCCAGGTGTAAGACCCGCGGAAAGATACTGCTGCTTCTAAGTTGTCTGGAAGATGCAAGAAGCTGGAGGGACGCAGCCCCGGAGCCTGAAATGCCAGACCCAAACCTGTGCGTGCCAACCTTTGTCCTTCCCAAGAAAGATCATCGTAGAATAAACTCACTGGAAGTGTGCACTGCGGTCTTGTGGTCCAAGGAACTGAAAGCACATCGCTCGCGTCCGCTGCAGGATGAGGAGCCTCCGGTGGCTTCTCCTCCTGAGTCTGCGTTGTCCTAAGAGGTTGCTCTCCTGAGTCTACTTCTATAGGGTCTGGCACTTCAAACCAGGATTTTCTAGCTCCGGCATCGAGCACAGCAGGTCTGTGAGTTGGACTACAGGTCCTGGTACTGCGATGATACGGAAGTCAGCGCAGACCGGCTGATACGGTCATCAACTTTTTTCAATGCAACTCACCAAACCGGTAGAATAAGGAAAGAACAATTACCGCGGCTTCAGTTCAATTGCAACGCCCCCACAAGCAAGGACATGTTGCACTGCTACTGACGTTCACTCCACAGCCGTTCCTACGCATACTTTGGCAGTCACAACTCGCGACCACTGCCACAACTTCATGTGCGATCTGCACTGCAGTTTATGCCAGCAATCGAGCAAATCAGACTAAATCCAGGATTTGTAGGACCACCGAAGTCGGCTCTATTGATCCTGCGGGATTTTGATCTCTCGGTGCACGTCTTCCGGAGTCCTGAAACTCCAGGTTTCAATTAAAGACAACCCGGAACCTTCCACGCGAAAACTTATAGCCTGGCCAAACTTCAGCATTATTCCCTTCCAAAAGTCAAGGGCTCCTCAGACTCGGAGTCTCCGATGTGTTCGAAGCGTGAGTAGTCCAATCGCGCAGCCATGGCTTCCGCTTTGTGTTTAGAGGTATCGGGGTTCGTGCGTCAAGGCTGCAGTGGAGACAACGGCTTTTTAAGCAAGGATCTGGCGCTGGAGATGTATTGGACCCTGAAGAAAACCAACGATCGGATTCGGGAGATACGGCGAGGATATGAGCGATATAATACTGTAAATGTCTTGGGATGTTGCTTCACCTTCCCAGATTACCCGAATTCTTGTGTGCCTAGAGGGCCTAGAGAGCTTTTGAAAATTGGGAGTCCATGCGGGTCATCGTCAAGTTCTAAAGATCTGAGGCTCCATGCAGGTGGAGCCCAGTTGGTTTGTCACAAGGAGATTTCAGCACAGAAGGCACGGCACAGATCCTCGCTTGGTCCAGGTCCAGGCGACCAGTGACCATGCGCCATCCACCAAGGCATCAAAGGCGTCGCCAACCGTCCTGAGCAAATTGTTGCCAAATACTTATATCGGAACGCAAACCGATCTCAACAACGTCCTTTCAGACGGCTGACGCACGACACTGGTACTTTCGTACTTTCGGGAGAAGATGTGGACCACAAGGACTCTGGAATTCACTGAAGCGCTCTTCGATGTCAAAGGGACAGCAAGATCTCCTCGTAGAACCTCAGCGGCTCCTGCTGAACACCTTGGCCAGGCCCGAGGCCCCAAAAGGGAAGAGGCTTGGCCTTTTGAAAGGCACGAACTTGGTCCGGGCAGAGGGCCAACCGCCGAGGCTGCCCACATACTTCTGGGAGGTGAACTGCTTAACATTTATAAAGGACTCTCCGAGTTTCAAGTTTAGAAACTTAACGTATGCGTTTGACGGATTTCGAAAGTTCGTCGCTTCAGCTTTGCAGGACAACGCCATCGAAAAACACAAAAGTCAAAAGCTCGAGAACCTAGCAACCCCCTTGCTTGAGAGCGAACGCCCAGGAAAAGGCTGAAACTTCCAGGGTCATCAGGAAGCAGGAAGCTAGTGGACCTTTAGTGGGGAGCTTTCGCTGCTGCGAAAAGCACAGCACTTCCAAGGCTGGCACAAGAAGCACCTGCAATCTCCTAGTCCTACATCCCAAACTTAGGAAGCCCAACACTCCAACATCTTGAACAAAAAAATATGCGCAACACAGCGCATGAGCCTTGATTGTTGGAGCCAGGAACTCTCAGCACTCCCGCAAGGTCTTTTGCCAGGTATCGGATGGCTCGGTGGCGATCCCCTTGCCGACGTGGGAGGCGCAGCGTGCTACGCCTGGGGTGTTGAACTGTGTGCGTATCGATCTGAATCTAGGCGATGCCGGCATCTGGCTGAGTCACATGAGGTCAGACATCATGTCGAGGGCATCGAAATTCTCTGGCACTTTCGAGGATTCAACCGGTGGCAGTACCTGAGCCTGACCGACTTCTCGCACCTCACTCGTAGAATCGGTGGGTACTGGGATGCCGGTCGTGGGAAACATTGGGTTTTTGATAGGCTTCAAGAGATTATCAGCTACCAGAGCCGCCCTTCCAGAAGGCCGAAAGCAACGCCGAGCATATGGCCTCAACCAAACTGTGCCAACTCTGCCAGTCCACCTTTTAAGACTCAACAGCCCAGCGGCGCGCTTGTAGCGTGCCGGCGGCCAGAGATCCAAAGCACCAGCATCAGAATCAGGATGCCTACCTGACAGATGGGAGTGTATCCAGCTGGCCTTCTAGCTCCTAAGAGGCACATCTGTGCAGAATCGACGCCCGGATCACTACGATAGAGGATGCGAAGGCTGCTATAAAAACCTACCGTTGCCAAAAATGGTTCACCCATGCTACGCCCAACTCCTCAACTCCGTCTCAACTTCCGAACACAAAATCCTACTACACTCCAACCCACCCCCAAAACACAAGCGTGCAGCGCTTACCCTAGGCATCATGTTGCTGGCCTTGCCTAATCCTTTGAGTATGGCTATCCATTCCGGTAGAAATCCGCCCATGGCTTTTCCTGCGCCCCAGCCATGCAAGAAAACAATGCATTCTTACCTATCACATCTACCAACGTGGAACATATTATATATATATACACAAACTTGACAGTCTGCAACATCAGGCTTGGAAGCCGCCCGCAACTACGCCTTCAAAGAACTAAGCAAAGAAGCCCTGTTTTTAAGACAGAATCTAAACGCCCACTCACCCCGGCTCCCACGCCACATAGTACCTATGCCAGAAAACGCGTTAGTAACTCCCAGAACGGCCATCTCAATCAAAAACGACAGGCTCATGCAGATCATCATAACAGTTGCTCCTCGCTCTGAGCTTTCTCCCCTCCCTGCTCTGGATTGACTCGGCTTCCCGGAAGGGGGAGCTCAGGCTCGGACGACTACGGCCTCATTCCGCCCGAACTGCCAGGAACCATTCCGGGGCTCGCAATAGAAGCAAATAGCGCCTTGGACAACACAGTCACCACTTCCAAGCCCGTTTCATCTCGAATGATGAAACTAGCGAACACATGAACAAGCCCGCACACCCAAAGTCGCACAGGTGGATTCGCCACCACAGGTTGACTGTAACAGATCTGTGTAAGTCGAGCATCCATCAACTGTGGTGGCATTCTGCCTGACATGTGTCATGGAGTTGCCGCACTCGCAGGCTTCTGGTGTGCACTGGTCGGATGCCTCAGTACCTGGGAAAAGCTTGTGCGGGAAATCGTGGGTGCTCAACTGAGGTAACTAAAGCTGTACAACTTCTCAAAGAAGCGCCTGACTCAAGCTTTTACACCACTGGTTAGATGATCAGTAGATGCGACAAGTCACAGAGAAAGGAGTAAAACAGCCGCACAAACAAATGCACACACAAACACAAACAAACGCGCACAGACACACACACACACACACCTACACACACAGACAGACACACACACACACACACACTCTCTCTCTCTCTCTCTCTCTCTCTCTCAGGCACACCATAGCGATGGCAATGCTGGTAGATCGTGTGTCGATGATTTCTGGGCCCCCAAAACCACAGAAGTTTGACAGTTCGAACCGAGCTGCATGCAGGAAGCCTCTCTGGCTCGCAGGCATAGCAAGGCTGCCCTTCAAGGCTGACGTTCCTCATGCAATGCCCGGTTCCGGTCCCCAAGGTAATCACATCGATTCCTACATCTGCCTGAGCCTCTGAGCCTCAAGGCCTCAACCACTGCCCACGAAAAGCGGTATGTAGGGTGCAGCAAAGGGTCACCAGCTCCCTTACATGAGAGGAGTTGGCACAAACGCAAGCTTCATCAAATGTACCTCGATGTCGCAGTATGTCAAGAAACGCAAGCACTGACTCACGCATGCTATGAGTACAACTGTTTCGAAAGATAAAACTCAGCATCATGCTTTGCACGATGCTCCTGACACGAAAGCATTCGGCAGATATGGAATTGCCTGTCAAGCCCGTCTGAGACCGCTATGTCCCACAGCCCGCCCGGTAAGAATCAAAGAAAGGCTGAGCTGGAGGTGTCAACGGCTGTGCCAGTCGCCTCGCCCGATGCCGCGAGCTAATTCTCGCTTACAGGCACCAGCCTGTGTCTGTATGTGTCTCACGCCCGCACCCAGAGCTCGTCCAAGGGGCAAGTCGTCCCCGAGGAATCCGAAGCAGAGTCGAGGGTGACCGGGCAGTACCTGCTGTCGAAACGCAGAGCCGCCTTAAAACGCCCCTATTGGATCTGCCTCTCCCCCAGGGTGGACACGGGGTTCATCACATTCTCAGTATCTGCTGTCAAAACTCTCCCTGTGGGCCTGAATCTAGCATGACAAGAGCCCAGGAGCCAAAGGGCCGAGCCTTCCTTTGCCGGCCATGACAGCGCAGCCGACTGAATTAGGGAAGTTGTAAGTACTGTATGCAACGACGACCGAACTCTTGACTCGGACGCCGGCAATCGGCTACTGATGAGATCCACGTCTCTTTCATTCATGATCTTAAATTTGGAAGGACGCGGGTGCTCTCCAACCCTGGAGCTCCTGGCATTACGAACTGTGATAGTTTCCCGAGATCTGTGTAGGCAATCTACCTGCGGCAACATGCACTAAGCCTGTGCCTGAGGAAGGCGGCGAAGGCAGCAAGTCAGAGCGTCTATTGGTGCAATGCATCAACACCCTGAAGGTCTCGAAGTCGCTGTGCTAATCCCCGATGGAAAAAAAGTGTCACAAAGGTGCATATGCCTCTACCTGACCTTAGAGTTCAGACTTGCGATGGCTCGAACGCGCAGAGCATGACGTAGTCTTTGGTGTTGCAGCTCACGGCTCCAGGGACAACTTCTGTAGGAACTGGTGAATTTCATGGTTGACCTCTGCCGCACGCCAGTAAAAGAACCAGTGGTGCGAGTCGAACGCCTTGGAGTACCTCACGGTGTTTGCAAGCTGAAAGCGTGCTCCCTCGGTGGGACATCCAACGGCACTGGCTTCCCAAATCAGGTAGTACCAAGACCAGATTTGTCCGAAGTGTTTCCCGAGTGTCTGCCTGCACAGAGGGTGCCTTCTGCAACTGCGGCTTTTGGCTTGCTGCAAAGCTTCCAGAGCCCGATGTCCTGTGCCCCTTGACAGACCGACGCCGGAAACAGTGGCACGTCTCTGCCGGAATCTCCGATGCGAAACGACTAATCTCTATGCGAAGCCACGTAGCAGCAGGCCAGACTATCAGGAAGCTACTACTGAGCTACGGCACCCAGGGAAATGCTAACACAAGGCCAACAGCGATTTGGGGAACGCTCGTCAGAAGGTCCCCCGGGCGCAAGCTTTTCCTGCCAGGCCGCCGCAGGGCACCACCCTTCAAGCGAAGGGCCTCCAGGAAGTAGCGCCCCGTGAGGTCCATCTTGGAGGAGGCCGCCTGGGGGTAAAGGGGAAAATCGGCAAAACAAACACGAACCCTTTCAAAAAAAACGCCTGGAAGTGCCTGAGGAGGGCCGGACCTGGCTAGAAGGGTCTGGGATCGGAGATGGTGGATGTAAATCAGCCCCGAGATGCCCTAACTGCACCTGATAATCGAATCTGACCTCTTTGACACCTCTCAAGCCCACTCAAACATGCGCGGAATCTTCGCATCAGTCTAGTCGTCTAGTCTGAATCTGCCTTGCCACTGCACCTTTCTTTGAAATAAGAAGAAAAGACGGTCAGGCTTCGAGCTTGCAGTTCGTAGCCATGTTTACCTAACTTGCCGTCTTGGGCAGCTTCCAAACACGTGACCCTTCAGTCAAATGAAGCTCTCACCCCTCACTGTCGGAAGCCCAGGTACTCCGTGTAGAAGCAGCGTAGGGCAAGAAGGCAGCTCGCCCGCCAGCTGCGCCTCAGAAACAGAATCGGCCCAGCAGAACTGTAGGCACTGCTGTCGGCTCCTGTCTTCGATTCAAATTGCAACCGAGGGGTTAGGTTTTCTTCATTGCAAAGCACGGAGGCCTGTGCCAGTGTCGCTTCCCTCAGCTCGTTCCTGAAGCTGGCTTCCAAAAGGAAACGGGCTGGACAGCCATGAAAGTCCAGGTGCATCGGCGGCGTTGCTTTTCCATCCTCGAAGGCCGTGTGTCCTCTGCGGGGATGAAAGATCTAAATAGCTCTTGGCAGGTGCGAAATCAGAAATTACAGAAGCGCATGCATGGCTTCATCCGGGCTTTCTAACACCTTATTCAGACGAAGGCATTCCTGTCTAATCAGATGCTGTGTTCCATAACAATTGTGGGAAGTGGGTTTTGGGGCATTTTCGATGCTCATGAGCACAAAAAGCGTTCTCGCATGCACACCAATCTCTATCCCGAGACTCGGAAGGGAGCTTAAAGCCGACAGCACCAATGGAAGTCCAGGCGGCGATGCCCAACATTGCTACGACGCACTCTTAATGGACCGTGCTGCGGCTTGCAGAAGCTATATAAGCCCAGCGACTGCCATCGCGCCCAGAGAAAGAAGCGAGGTGGCTTCCAGGTCTGCCAATACCTGGAAACATCTGAAGCTGCAAGACCGGAGCTGCATCTCTTGCTACATGCCATCATAGCTTTCAAGCCTCAGAGCTGCAGTTCGCCGAATGCGGTCTTGGACAGTGCGTTCCAACAGCCGGGCCAATGAAGAGAACCCTCCCAAATCTCCCAATTGCTTCAGCCCTATGAGGCTGGCGCGGCCAGCCCATCGCGGCGGTCACCTCTTCCAGAGGTGTTGGCGTCAGCAACTGGCCGGCCTCTACTACTTTAGGAGAGTTTCTCCAACCTGTTTCAGATCAATGGGTCTGAGGGTCCTTGCCTTGGTTGGAAACTCGACACTAAGGAACTAAACTCGTCGAGCTTTCGGAGCTCGTCTGCAGCAGCCAACAGAAATGCAGAGAGCCTTCAACTTCCACTCCTCAGCCAATGGAGCTTCAACAGCCCGCCAGCCTCACCGTAGCCGGACACAAGTGATTGCCTGAATCGGCAAGACAGGCGCCTTATTATTTTCTCCATTGGCAGCAAGTGGCCGGCTCGGCAGTCACCTCCTCTAGTGTGCCTTGAATTCAAGCAGCCTGAATCTGGGTAATTTCCACTACGACCGAGAACGCAAGCGAATCGTGGAAATACTGCACGTGGAGAAGCGAAGCTACTCCATGAAGTGCCGCAGCAGCTTGTTGGCCGCGTCCTGGGCGCGCTGGAAAAAAGCATCCGGAAAGCGCGGGAAAATGTATATTGGAAGCCCCTCTGCCTAAGTAAAACGTGACTGGGGAGTTCTCAAAGCCTGGCGGTGCAGCATCGTTCCATGCATCATTATATCAAGCTTCTTTTCAAGGGGGCAGGATGGCTCGAGTTGAAGTGGTGAAGCTTACTGTACCACAATGGGAAGAGCGCCTGCATGAGCGGTAGCTTCCCGAACAGGAAGCACATCAGGGCAAACTGCTGGTAGGCGACCACGCGCCACTTGACCTCTGCGGTCCGCAGGCAAAAGGGCGAGAAGTGGCAATATTACCTCTAGACTCTATAGTCGGGGCAGTCCAAAATCTTGCTTCGGGAATCGCACGGCCAGGGCACCGAGAACGGGAGTTCGCCATAGCCTGGAGCAATGTCCAGGGGCACGATGGCATCGAACAGGTGGGGGTCTTGCCTCTGGGCCATGTACCTTGCGCACTGGCTATGAAGAAACTTCAGGCCAGTGCTCTGCCAGATCAACCCGGCCACAACCTTCAGACAACTTAGCACAACCTTGGCTGTTTGACTAACTCTGCGGCTAAAGCATGCAACGTGTCTCCCAGTCTCTTGGCTCGAATCATCAATTACCCACAAGCACCGTCCAGGATCATGGGCTTCATGTTTTCTGCAGAAGAAAGCGCGACCGACAAATGCATGACTTGGCAGCTGAAGCGGCGTGAGCCATGCCCCCCAATCATGTCCGAGCAAGACGAGCGAGCGATTCTCACCTTCAGCGCTTTCTCTAGATTCATCAGCAAGTTCCTACGGCCATGTGCTGTGTTCGGACAGCTCCAATATAAGATTGCGGAGTTGTTCGACTTCCCTTTCCTCAATTCCTTCCCCTCCTCCTAAGCATCATCGTCATCATCACAGCACCATCACCATCACCATCGCACTCACCCTCATCATCATCATCATCATCATCATCATCATCATCACCATCTCGTCCACACTGTGGTGCCACACACTTCGTGTTACGAGTATCAAGTTTTCACTCGAGGTCACGATTGCCCTGACATTTTAGATTTCTTCTGGGAGGATGTTACGCTGAAATCACGAAGTTCCGAAATCCTGGACCCACTCCGGAATCTCAGGCGTAGAATCGAAGTAGAAGCATCCAGCTTGAAAAGCGGTGTAAGGCCAAAGAGGAGAGATAGGACTCACTATCAAAAACGGCACATGCATGCGATCCGCTCTCGCTCGGCTGACTTTGAGACGGCCGTGTCCACAAGTGCTTAGACTTAGGTAATCACTTAGATGTATAGGACGAGCAGCGGCAGCAGCGGTGCCAGCTGTGTACAACATAAGGAAATCGGAAGCATCTCCTCAAACAAAGCACTAACGACAACTTTTGCAACATACCAGAAAGAGTCAGCTTGAGGGTGCTGGTAACTATTATCTTCGATATATCTTCTTCGATAGTAGCAATCGGTTATAAGCAAACCGAAATCAAAGCACGAGTGACGAAACATGACTGGAACAAGGTAGCTTGTCAAACAGCGGACTCAGAGAGATGGTTATCGGATTAGTGATGACCGTAACTTCTACCAACAGTAACATCAATTTGAGAAGCGGCAATACGCACGAAACCACTACTGCTGCGACAGCGACTTAGTAACTTAGTAGCGCGTATTTTCAACTGATTTGCGAGTGTCGGAATTTGGAAAATAGGGACTGCAAGCTCTGATTGCAAGCGGTCGGCCTCCATGGCCTCGCAGGAACTCGGCAAGATTGGACAGCTGCTGTGCCTGGGGGCAGCTGGGGCAGGTGCTCCAGGATCGCGCTCTTTCCCGCTGCGGCTTGGGACCAGGGCTGGGAACAGTACACATGCAGGCAGGCATGCACAGTTCTCTACATCTCGAGCGGTGCGCGTGATCGTGTACTTCTGCCCTCAGAAATCGCTTGATTCGTTTAGGCACTCGCTCGCGCCTGCTGCATGCCCTTCTAGCTCCAGGCGGCTCAAGCTCCACATCTGTTGTACAAGCTGCACCTGCATAAACTATCAAGTATGTGTGTTCATAATATGCCAAGGTAACACACTCAATTTTTGCTTTGGCTCTCAGTCTTATGTTCGCAGTTGTGATGGCTACCCACAGGCTGAGGAGTTCAGCTCGAGTCGCCCGACCTTCTTCTGAACATGCCTCCTAGCTTCAACAAACAAATATC